TGTACGCCGACGACACGATGCTCGTGGCTGAAGACCAGCCGACCCTCCAGAAACATTTCACGACAGTTGCACATATTGGTAAATCTTTTGGTCTTTATTTGAACGCCGGGAAACTATTTTACTGAGAGTGCGATCCAACGGCACAGTGCTTAAGCTAAACGGTGAGGCAATCAAATGCGAAGAACATGCCGTGTATCTGGGCAGATTATGAAGTGCAGATGGGAGAGCCGGAACTGAGCTGACACGTCGTCAGGGGGAAGCGAGCGGAGCACTTCACAAATTATGCAGTGTGGAGCCATGCGAATATGAACCGACGGCACAAATTGCGGGTGCTGCAAGCTTGCGTGTATAGTAAACTGTTAGATGGGCTAGAATATTGCATGTTACTGAAGGCGGATCGGGATCGACTTCACAGCTTCCAAGCAAAATGTTTGCGACAGAATTTCAAAATAGCGCCAGCTGTTCTGTCTCGAGTCAGCAACGCTGATGTGCGGGCGGCAGCGGGAGCATGCCCATTATCAACTTGTTGATTACAGCGCCAATTGAACTTCTATGGTAAGCTGGCGAGGGGACCGCCCGGCAGCTTGCCCAGAACAATGGTATTTCAAGCTGGACAAGACCACCGCATTCTGCCCAGGGACTGGGGCACACCGCGCCTCAGAGGGCGCCCGCGCTTACAGTGGAACGCCTACATGCACGCTCAAACCCTGGCTGTGGCAGGAAACGACACCGACAGATTGCAAGCCCTATTGCGTGGAACGCCGGGGCAATGGAACGCAGCTGTTGTAGATTATTGCTTTTCATCGTGATACGAATCCGGCGCACAGATGATACGAATCTGGGGCATTTGGTATCACTCAGCCCCCCGGCCTCTTCCCCTTCCTCCTCGTCCTCCTCGTCCTCCTCCTGCGTACTTAGCATGCCCTCGCGCTTCGCTGGGGCAAAGAATTCCAGCGTACGCTTGGGGGCGCGTCTGCACGAATCCAATTCTAATGCACATGCGTTTCCGGTTGCAAGTCTTCCTGCCGGTGCGCCGTCCAGGCGCGGCTCTGTGTGTTGGGCTCTCTGCGAAACTGCCGCCACTTTCGAACGCTGCTGGCGGGTCCTGCGGAGTGAGGCACCGCGCAGACCTGAGCGAGACCTCGAGGTCGCTGGGGGGCTGCGATCTGCGAAACCGTCGCCACTTTCGAAGGCTGCTGGCGGGCCCAGCGGAGTGAGGCACCGCGCAGACCTGAGCGAGACCTCGCCGTCCTTGGGGGGGCTGCGATCTGCGAAAAAGTCGCCACTTTCGAAGGCTGCTGGTGGGTCCTGCGGAGTGAGGCACCGCGCAGGCCTGAGCGAGACCTCGCCGTCACTGGGGGGCTGCGATCTGCGAAACCGTCACCACTTTCGAGGGCTGCTGGTGGGTCCTGCGGAGTGAGGCACCTCCCAGACCTGAGCGAGACCTCGCCGTCCCTGGGGGGCTGCGATCTGCGAAACGGTCGCCACTTTCGAGGGCTGCTGGTGGGTCCAACGGAGTGAGGCACTGTGCGGACCTGAGCGGGACCTCGCCGTCCCTGGGGGGCCATGTCATGTTGTTGCTGCCCCGCCGACGTTTCAAGCCCTTGCCGACAGTCTCCTTTTGGACCTTGCGTCTTCCTGAGTGGCTCAGGGGTTCACTTAGTTCCTCATCGTTGTTCCTTTGATTGGGGACCTGCGAACCTTCAGAATGCCGCTCGCAAAAGTATATGCGTACATGTCACGTCGCCGCCTTCTCGTCAAATCTCCCAAGCTACTCGTGCCCTGCATTGCGCAGGGGTTGGGTACGTCGCCAGGGTCACTTTTACGAAAGATAGAACATAGTAATATACATATAATTGTATGTATATATATATATAAATAAATAAATCCAGAACAAGTCAAACATAATCAATTATCCGAGCGAAAGACCCAACCATATGCAGTTGTGGGCACCGCAATTGTGAATATCTTCTTCGGTGAAGCTCCCTATGGGGCCACGAAGTGCTGCACTGGGTGGGGGGGGGACGCACGCGGGCGGGAGCAGTGGGGCCGTCGGTGGAGCTCCCTATGGGGCCAAAGCGCTGTCCTGGGTGGATGAAAATGCGGGCGGTCCCACTGGGGCCACCAAACGTATGAGGGGCGTGCCAAATTTGGCATCCGGGGCGCATGCGGACGGTCCAAATTGGGCTTCCGGGGCGCATGCGGGCGGACCCAGTATGGATGGAGCTCCCTAGGGGGGCCACGAAGCGCTGTACTGGGTGGTGAAAATGCCAAATTGGGCTTCCGGGACGCATGCGGACGGTCCCACTGGGGGCTTCGGTGGAGCTCCCACTGGGGGCTTCGGTGGGGCTCCCTATGGGGCCGCGAAACGCTGTAGTGGGTGGGTGAAAATGCCAAATTGGGATTCCGGGACGCATGCGGGCGGTCCCACTGGGGGCTTGGGTGGAGCTCCCTATGGGGCCACGAAGCGCTGTGGTGGGTGGGTGAAAATGCCAAATTATGTTTCCGGGACGCGTGCGGGCGGTCCCACTGGGGGCTTGGGTGGAGCTCCCTATGGGGCCGCGAAACGCTGTAGTCGGTGGGTGGAAATGCCGTATTGGGTTTCTGGGACGCATGCGGACGGTCCCACTGGGGGCTTCGGTGGAGCTCCCCATGGGGCCACGAAACGTTATACTGGGTGGATGAAACGCGGGAGGGAAGAGGAAGGGGGAGGGGGAGGAACGAGGAAGGATGGAGGGAACGCGGGAACCGTCCCTTCAAAACGAAAACCCAACACCACAGGATGGTTGGGTAGAAGATCGTCCCCATACGATTTTTTCACTATGTTTGAAGATTCCTCCTGTCGAGCCACATGCGCGACTTTTGTCCAGCCTTGGTAACTGTGGCTCATGGTGGAAGCTGGCGGGCCCCACTCCACACCAGGACCCAGGGTCGCCACCAGGCTCTGGCTCCTGATTCGACACATGCTTCCTGTAGGTCGGGCGTGTCCCCCTACAAGCGGATTCTGGACGAAAACTAGAAAAATTCCCCAAATATTCAAAAGCACATCAATTTTCGACAAAAATCGTCCCCTGACTATTTTTAGACTAGTTTTGAAGATACCTCCTGTAGAGGGACGTGCCCGACTTAATGCTTGCTCATGGCCACGATTCCCCCCCAATGCTGCGAGATATTCCTTGCCCAGGCTTGCGTACGTTCAGCGCTTGGTATTTCCATTTGCCACACCAAGTATATGGGGACGCTCACAACGGCACGTGTCGAAACCCTCCTCCCCTTGAAGATGATACCGGTCTTGTGCTTCGTCCTTCTACCAGGCCACATGACGTTGTTGGTGATCGCCGTACATTGCACGACGGTTGGCGTACTCCGTCGCGCATATCATACCTATACGACCACACTTCGGGTGATAAGGAGGTCAGGGGGGTAGGAACCAGATAATGGTAATCTTTGTGGCTGTGATGAGGACGATGCTGGTGATGCGCCCTCGGGTTGGCGACGCGTGATGCTAATAACGATGATGATGCTAATGCTGATGCTGGTGCTGATGCTGATGCTGCTGATTTTTATTTACTCGGCATCAGGACCAAAAGAGACTGCACAGCGTTAAAGAAAAAATATGGTCCGCCGCAAAGAGCCGAATTTCTCGTTTGTCCCCACTCTTGGGGCCACGTCTCGCGGGTGCTGACACAGGGTGGCTGCGTGATGATGATGATGATGATGATGATGATGATGATGGTCGCGATGAGTGCATCTCTAGTCTGATCAATTGCGAGATCCATAGAGAGGTCGATCTCACTGTCAATCCCACTAAAAATCTCACAAACGATCTCACAACACATTTCACTATCGATATCACAATGGATCTCACGATCGATCTCCCAAACGATCTCACTATCAATCTCGCCACCCTGTTCCGGGACACTGACTCGCGCCGCCCTGCTCCGGGACACGGAACACCGACGGGACACCAACGGGATGCCGACGCGCCACCGACGGGATACTCCCAGCCACCGCGCGCCAGGAGGGGAAGAGGCGGACAACCGGCTCCAGCCCCTAGCCACGGCGGCATCATTCCTCTCTCGCGCCGACGCCTCGCCCGCACGCACGCAACGAACACGAAACCGAAACCGATTTCCTGGTGGGGGGCTCTCCGCTCCACTGCGATCTCGCCCCCCAGCCTCCGACAGTCCTGGATGTTGGACATCACGTATCATCGCAGATAGCTGGTCTCCTGACACCTGCCCGTGCTGGTGCGGTGCTGGGTCATCCACGTCATGTGGCCACGCCTGGCGCAGCGTTTACAAACGTTCGGTCGCAGCACCGGTGCTCGCTTGAGTAAAGCTTGGGGGTTAGGTCTGCAGAACACCCCAAACGGACGTCAAGGGGCGCAACCAACCGGTTCGGTCAAGCTGAAACTGATGCACCATAACCGGCGTTAAGCCACACATTTGAACATCAACGAATGGCTGGATGTTGCACATCTTCGTCGGCTTAACCGGCGAGGCGTTTGTTCACCTTGACGTCCCTTCTTGGTGGTCCTGCAGAGGAAGGCGCTCTCTGACCCTCAGCCCTACTCGAGTGCTCGCCGTTCGGTTTCAGCTGCCTGCCCAGGGTGGCACGTGCAGCGCCGCGGCGGCGAACCCGCCGACCCGTCCTCGCAGCCCGCGTGCCCCCCCCCCCCCATGGGCGGCGATGGCGAAGCAGGGCCAAAACGCCGCCCCTTGCTCCCTCCTCCTCCGCGCGCGCGCGCTCCTTCGCGCGCGGGGGGAAAGGGGGAGGGGGGAGAGAAGGAGGCGAGGAGGGGAGAAGGAGGGAGGAGGACGAGGAGGAGGGAGGAGGAGGAGGAGGAGGAGGAGGAGGAGGAGGAGGAGGAGGAGGAGGAGGAGGAGGAGGAGGAGGAGGAGGAGGAGGAGGAGGAGGAGGAGGAGGGAGGAGAAAAGAGGGTCGAGGACTGAGGAGGGGACCTCTTTCCCCCTCCCCTTCCCTTCTCCCCCGGGCGCCTGCAGGATTTGAAGCGCCGCCTCCTCGTCTACGGACGCCAGCGGCTCCTTGACCTGGCTGTATGGCAGCGGCCTCAAGCCGGCGGGGTGGAAACCAGGTGGCGAAAGAACAGGTCTGTCCAACTCCTCCTCCTCCTCCTCTTCCTCCTCCTCCCTCTTCCACTTTCCTTGTTGCTTCTTCTTCCTCCTCCCCTTCTCACCCCTCTGTTTTCCTTCTCCTTATTCTCATCGCCATTCTCCTCGTACTTCCTATTTCCAGAATGCTCCGTCCAGATTTCTTCCTTCCTCGCACCTCTCCGCCTCCATCCTCCTCCTCCTCCTCGTCCTCCTTCTCCTCCTTCTCCTCCTCCTCCTCCTCCATCCCCCTCTTCCTCCTCCTCCTCCTCCTCCTCCTCCTCCTCCTCCTCCTCCTAGTCCTTCATCCCTCCTCTCGCCGTCCTGATGAATTTTCCCTTCCGGCCCCCTTGCGTCGCCCTCCTCCTGCGAGAAGGATGGTTTGCCAGACGTATTTGCCCCTTGGGAAGAGGGCCTCACCGCAGGGAACGGTGGCTGACATCATCCCCCTGCACTTGTTCCTGATCTTCTCTCTGCTCATGCTCCTCCTCATCAATCCTCCAACCCCCATCCATTCATATGCCTACACAGGTATACGAATATGTATATATGTATATGGAAGTAGGTGTGTCATGTGTTCATTGTCATTCTCTCGCGTTCTCTCCATCTCTCTCTCTCTCTCTCTGTCCCTCTCTCTCTCTATCTCTAAAGATGTGTCCCATATGTGTACTGGACCATATAAGCATGCTCTGCTCATGCTCCTCCTCATCAATCCTCCAACCCCCATCCATTCATATGCCTACACAGGTATACGAATATGTATATATGTATATGGAAGTAGGTGTGTCATGTGTTCATTGTCATTCTCTCGCGTTCTCTCCATCTCTCTCTCTCTCTGTCCCTCTCTCTCTCTCTAAAGATGTGTCCCATATGTGTACTGGACCATATAAGCATGCCCCTTCAAAACCATACTTCACAAGTTGTGCGGAGTTGAGCCAAGTAGACAAATACATGCACCCATGTGCAGACGGCAGGCTGGTAAACAATCTCAGCCACGTCCTCAAACCAGCAATGGCCATGCCCACCCTACCTCATCATCTCGCTGCTCATCCCAACATGGATGCATGTACACACATACATATACCATGTACAACTGTAGATATACACGATGCTGTCTCTCATCATGTATGCACGCAGGTTGCTCGTGCATCCCTATGTGTATCCATCTCTTGTTCTTCCTTTCCCTCTCCATCCCTCTCTCTCCCCTCCCTATCTCCCTCTCTCTCTCTCTCACTCTCTCCCCCCGCCCACTCCGCCGGCAACGTTCGCACTTGGGCCTTCCTCGCGATCCCTAAAAAACTGAACGGGTCAGCCGAGGTTCCGGCTGGTGCCGGGCTGAGGGGCGCCTCTCGGTGGGTCGACCGAGGTTTCCCTCGGTGCCCACCCGCGGGGCGCCCGTGGGCGCCTCGCGCGCCGGGCACGTCCGCCGAGGTTTCGCCTGGTGCCCGCGTCGCGGCGCCTCGTGGGCGCCTCGTGCGCCAGGTGGGTCAGGCGAGGTTTCGCCTGGTGCCCGCCCCTGAGCACCTCGTGGGCGCCTCGTGCGCAGGGTGGGTCAGCCGAAGTTTCCCATGGTGTCCGCCCGTTGGCGCCGCCTGGGCGTTCTGCGCGCATAGTAGGCCAGCCGAGCCGGGGTTCGGCCCTGGTGCCTGCCCGTGGGAAGTCAGCCGAGGCTTCGCCTGGTGCCCGCCCTTTTGTCGCCTCGTGGGCGACTCGTGCGCTGGGTGGGTCAGCCGACCGAGGTGTCGCCCGAGGCCCGCTCGTGGGCACCTTTAGGCGCCTCGTGGGCGACTCGCGCGCTGGGTAACTCAGCCGAGGCGCTGCCTGGTGCCCGTCCGTGGGCGCCTCGTGCGCTGGCCGGCCGCAAAGCTTGCACCACACAGCTTGCACCACACAGCCTGCACCACACAGCCGTCACCTCATAGATGGCACCACGCAGGTGGCACCGCATAGCTTACCTGACTTATCTCATACCACATCGATTCTTCTGGGGAAACGACTCATCTACTCCACTCCCCGTCTAAGCCAGGGTCAGCGGTTCGCCTGTCCGTGTAGTAGCTTACATGTCAGATCTGCCTGATCGTCCACTTTCACATGGCATCGTATTCTCCCGAGCGGTCCTGGTACCGACCCACACAATTCACATCTGTCAAATAGTAGCATGCGGTGTACATGCGTGGATCTATGTATGTGACTATATCTGTATATGTAAAAATTCGATGCATGTAAATGTCTATATATATATATATGTATTAGAGCTGGCGTTGCTGTGCTGAAGATCAAATGCGAAAAAGTTCACTAAAAGGTCTTCATACAAAAACGAGCCACTACGGGTTATGTGTCTATATATACACAAGACGGAAGAACTATCACGTGCGTTACCGGATCCAATACCGACGGGGTGTCGTGGGTCCCCGTGGCCTCCCGTTCGCTCTAGTAAATGCGCTGCCGGATCTGGAATCGATCGGGCGTCGTGGCATCCCGTGGCCCCCCGTGGGCGCCCAGGGCCTCCCGCTAGTCTTTCTCAAGCGAAATCTCATTCGCATTCGTATTAGAGTTAATTTGGTTTAGCTTTCGCGGTTGGGTTAACATGCATGTTCGCATGTGAACCTGCATTCCCGTTCGCACGCGCAGTCATCTTCGTTGTCGCTGCACGGTTGCAACGGTGAGGGGTATGAGTAGTAGTAGTAGTAGTCGTAGTAGTAGTAGTAGTAGTAGTAGTAGTAGTAGTAGTAGTAGTAGTAGTAGTAGTAGTAGTAGTAGTAGTAGTAGTAGTAGTAGTAGTAGTAGTAAGTAGTAGTAGTAGTAGTGTTAGTAGTAGTAGTAGTAGTAGTAGTAGTAGTAGTAGGTAGTAGTAGTAGTAGTAGTAGTAGTAGTAGTAGTAGTAGTAGTAGTAGTAGTAGTAGTAGTAGTAGTAGTATAGTCGTAGTCGTAGTCGTAGTCGTAGTCGTAGTCGTAGTCGTAGTCGTAGTAGTGTAGTAGTAGTAGTAGTAGTAGTAGTAGTAGTAGTAGTAGTAGTAGTAGTAGTAGTAGTAGTAGTAGTAGTAGTAGTAGTAGTAGTAGTGATAGGAATCGTAATCGTATTCGTATCGTTTTTAGTTTCTTTGTAACCGTACGCGCAATTAGTGTAGCAGTCATATCAGTGCTAGCAGCAGTCGTAGTGCAACTAAGTGTTTCAGCACCAGAAGCACGGCCATAGTATCACCACTCGTGGTATTGTTAGTGGTCGTGGACTGCGTACGAACTAGGATCCACACGGGTAACTGGTAAACCATACTTCTGTTTCGCGCGCGCGGGGCGGCCCCCCGAACTCCGAGCAGGTCCGGGCAGGTCCACGGCAAGGTCCCCATCAGAGAAGGTGCTGCTCCTGGGCGCCGCCCTCAGGCTCTCCCCAAGGGCCCCGCGAGCGGCCCAAGAGGTCCCCAAAGAGGCCTCCGGATGATCCCTTTGAGGCCTCCGGGACACGACCAGATCGCCCCAGGACGCCCAAGCTGGCCCCCAGACGACCCAAGAGGCCTCCAAGAGCACTCCCCAGAGGGCCCCAAGAGGCAACATCAATAGATTTCCCGTCGGTTTTTGATGGATTTGGGCGTTCTCGCCTTTTCGGCTTCCCGACACTCCAAGACAGCCCGAGAGGCCTCCGAGATCGCCCCAGGACGGCCCAAGAGTCCCCCAAGGGGGCCCCAGAACGGCCCAAGAGGGCCCCAAGACGGCCCAAGACGCCTCCTAGACAGTCCAAGAGAGCTCCAGGACGGCTCAACGGAAATTCCGAGCTCTCGGCTCCAAGAGACGCCCAGGAGACCCCAAGAAGCCCCCAAGAGGCCCCAACACAGCTCCAAGAGGCTCCCAATAAGCCCCCAAGAGGCTCTCTAACGGTCCCTCAGAGGCCCCAAGATGCCAAGAGCGCGCAAGCAAACGCCTGCGATGGCACAATACGGGCCAGCGGAATGAGCGAAGCGATATAATATTGATATTGTTAGTGGATTGTTAGTGGTAATAGACTGCGTACGAACTAGGATCAACACTCATAACAGCAATAGGCGTCGTTTGCGTACTAATGTTGGCAATTCGTGTTCGTATCGCTTGCCTGTCGTAGTAACAAAAGCGCGAGCCAGAGGGTGGACTTCCGGGTGCCCGCGGTGATGTGTTTAAGGTATGATGCCGCAAAGGAGTCAACTAAGAATAATTCCAAGGAGTGGCTATCAACAAAAAACACAAGCAGAAGAGTTGCCATGACTCTGTCCGCGTGCGCCCGCTGAAATCCTAGCGGCACCATGGGTTGGTTTTCAGCCCTTCTGTCAAATCAGACCATGCGGGCTACTTGCCCGCGCACGTCGAAAACGCTCAACCACCATTGAGACCTATGTCAGCAGGCATTTGGGCTCGGGCAGGAAAATTCCGAAAATTCCTCCTGGGATTGGTTTGTGGTAGGGTTTTGTTAACGTATAAAAATTGTGTTTTTTTCGTGCTTTTGATCGTCCCGAACCCAACTCCTCTATCGCGCAACCTGCATCAGCCACCCAAGCAGCCAAACAAAGATCGGAAGAAAGCCGCTGAAAGGCAAAGACAGCAGCGGAGGAGGGGGGGTTCGAACGAAAGTGTGATAAGCGCATGGGAACAAAACGCAACGATGCGAAGGGAGGGGCCCGACGAAACACACCCAGCACGCAGAGGAGAAGGAGGAAAAAGAGACAGAGGAGAGGGCGGGGAGAGGGGTAGGGGAAGGAAGGGGAGGAGGAGGGGGAGGGAGAACGAGGAAGGAGAGATGCAGGTGGAGGAGGAAGAGGGGGAGAAGGAGAGGAGGAGGAGAAAGAGGAGGAGGAGTACCTCGCGCTGGGAGGCCGACGCGGGGGGGCTGAAGGATCGAATGACAAAATTTGTGGGATGACCGAGGGGGGTGGCATGAAAGGGTGGGCGGAGGGCGGGGCCGACGCCGACGCGACGAGGAAGGGGACCTGCGAG